AAGGTGCACGGTAATGTACCAAACAGTGTTTCTTTGCTATTCATAGGTTTTCCCTTGCCAATTCTTTGAGAAGTGGACGGCCTCTTCCTTCTTCCTAGTCTGTCTCAGTCTATAAACTGGGATGTTACCTGCACCAGGTGCATCTTGCTGGGTTTTAAACACCAGATGCTCAGCCTCAAAACTCACTTCTACATGTCACCACAGTAGGACAAATCGACAGACAAGTTTGTCTTGCTGTTGGAGACCTCTTGTATCACCCCCACCTGCGTCCCTGTGGCTGACTGTACCTCTGTCTGGCTTCCTGGCTTTTAATCCCCTTTCTCCTGCTCTTCCGGCCTGCTACTCTGGGTGAGCCTAAGTTTCCTCTCCTCACCTAATCCCTTCGACTGATTGCTCTTCTCTCTGGCTTCCTGGCTTTTAATCCCCTTTCTCCTGCTCTTCCCGCCTGATACTTTGGGCGTCCCTGAGTTGTCTCTCCTCACCTGTAACCCTGAGCCTGAAATAGCTAGGTTTTTTTTTAATTGAAAAATTGTATATACACAAATATCATACATGAAATTAAAGTATCTTCATAATGTACTATAATATTTATTGGGAGGATTTGTATTTGTTTTTAATTTATTGTATAAAACTATATCCTAGAATCACTGATACCTTGCTAAGTTTAATGTTATGCAACACAAATTTGCTTGAAATAGAATGTCTAGTTTTGTTAAATGATACAAGTATAATTTATTAAATTCCAGCACTCTATGAATGATGATTTATCATTATATGTCTGTTTGTATGTGAACATGTATATCATTAACCTTTCCACCTGAACAGAATTCTGACTTTATTTTATAGAAATCTTCCAGTCAGTGCAGTTTAGAAATTATTATACTAAGGAAATTCTTCAGCTGTGATCCTAATCTATATTATAATGGTTATTCTAGGTTAAAGAATGTTATGCATTACAGAATATTATTGGGACAAGGGAAAAGTTTACTATCAGAAAGTTATAGTGCTCATCTATTTCTCTTTCAAGGATGATTATAGATTTTAACTAGAAACAAAAGCAATTCTGTACCTCTAGGGTATTTCTGAAAGCATACCTACAAAGAGAAATCCCAAAAGAACTAGGTTCATTAGTCATATACTCATACAAGCTAAAGGTATATAAAAGTAAAATAGTACACAAAAACATTAAAGATTTCATTTTACTCAGGGAATTGGATCTTGGCACAATTCTGTGGAATTTTGGATTCTTCACAAAACATACTATGAAAATCCTTGGTCTTATGCAGGTTGATTTATTCCTAACTAGCCTAGTAGCACAAAGG